TCTTAGACATGAGAGTAAAAACTTAGCACAATCAGGCTCTTTTCTAATGGATCAATTGATTAAAAACACAGAAGGAAATAATAATGGTAGGAAGACAAACAGCAGCTCAGCACAAGTAACTTATGTCAGCATAATTCTGACAAGTTCTTTTGATGAAGCGCTGAGCTCATTGCAAAAGTCCTACATACATGTACAGAAAAAAAACAGCTCCACAAAATATAATTACTTAATTCAACCAGGTAACACTGATGATGTTCATTCACAGAAACGGTGTGCAGCTGGGGCTCAATTCCGCATCTTTCAGAAGCTCTAAATATTTAATTGTGAATCTTTGTCTTTCAGGAAATGTAAGGGAATTCTGGACATCTAAATGACGGACAGTATTCCTTTTAAAACCTGAGTATTTGGCATTTCAGAAAAAGTTGTGAATCTAACTTTTGTTAACTTTTATGCCTTGCTGCATGAAAGAGACACTAAAAAGCTATTTTGAAAACAGAAACCAGTTCACCAAAGAGAGTTATAAACAATTTAAGTAATAAAGCAACAGTGGCTTCTCTAATCACAAGTGCAGCTCTTTCACCATGAATGCTGAGTTATAAGGTTACGCTAAAACATGACACAAATATATTCCTGTGTTTGTTCAAAAAGAGAAGAATTACCACAACATGCAGTACAGATGTATCACTGATTTCAATGTAACACACACCAACCATGTGTCAAAACTCAAAAAAATGTGTCTGGATTAACCTGACACCACACCGCTGTACATGTTATTGAGAAAGAAAGGTTGAGGCATACAAATAGAAAACGTGTTTTTATTTTCAAGCAAAGCAAAGTTGGAGATGTGCTAAGATAAACTAAGAAAATTGGCAAGATTATTGACTAGAATTCACTTAGTAAAATGCTAATCACATTAGTTCATAGCTGTGCTCATCTCTGAATTAGTGATTACTAAATATATTAATGGCAATGTAAAAAAAAAATTACTGTTTTATTTTTTAGTTTGGCTATAACCTCAGTGTTCTTTGGGAAGGTCTAATACTTTAATCTGAACTTTATTCTAACTGACAATGGAAAAACCAGCAGCAGTTTACAGACAGAAACACTGACAACTGCTGCTGAATGAAACAAGTTTTCTGTTTTGTGTTTTGAAAGAGCTCAATTATGCTGGATCACTGAACACTTCACTGCAGGGTGGCCCAACAATCTGTGACAGAGTATCCTGGTTGGCATTTACATGCACAAAGCTGCTTAAATAATGATCCAGTCCTCGCGTGCAGAGTGCTACTATTTAAGCTGTTAGTAGTCAACAGTTTGCACACAAGAACAGCACTTTGTAGTATATTAAAAATCCCAAACACCTTTAAATGCTCTAAATGAAGGAGCCAGTAGTGTTAAAAACAGAGATGAGGGAAGACATATTTCAGATTTGTACCACATACACAAGAACAAACACTTTTAAAAACTCTTTGAAACTCTTGGAAGGCCCCTATTCCACAACCTGCATGATTAGAGAGGACGTATGTATTGTTTTCTGTGGAAACACTGAAAAAACTGACACAGCAGAACAGGGAAAAACTGACACACACCTGAAGGAAGTCTCTGGGGAAAGAAAATTAAAATGCTTCCCTTCATCATATACCAAAACATGTTCAAATTTATCTGCTAAGCCCGTATGGCAAAGGAATCTCTGGTAACATTTACTTTTACTGTTAAAAAAAAGCACGCAGAAGAGATGGATTCATTAAAATCATGCTTCCCTAACTAAGTTGATATCCCCTCTAACAAGACTGCCGTTCTGCTTCGGACAGACTGTAGTGTTACTGTGCTCCTAATGCTCCATCCTCAATCAAGTCAATGATTGTCAGAAGTGTGGTGGTCACACTGACAGATTTCTTTTCGTGCCATGCAAGACTGCAATATTACACATTAGCAGTGGAGAACTTTAAAACGTCATGAGCATATCACGTTCTTGTACGCTAGTGTAGAACGGCCTCCCAAAGATAAAGGAATGTAGACCTGGTTTAATCTTCTCAGCCAAAGCCATTATTATGTTAAGATCGCCCTCTGCTGTTAAGTCAAGATCTATCTTTAAGCTACGAAGAGACTTAAAAGGTTTTTTTCCTTTTTGCCTGCAAGAAAATAAAAAAGGGTGTTGTAAAAAAGAACAGAGGAATTTTCTCAAAGCCTGCTTTCTATTATCTGTTCACTTACGTGTCATCCTCTATGTATTTTATTAAAGTTAAGGCTTTTCTGTGAAGGACTAGCAGAAATTGTGCCAGGAAAGTACTCCTTAGAGACAAGCCAGGCTTCAGATGAAAGATCTGTAAAAAATTATACCAGAAAATTAGGTAGACATGGAAATTCAAGAATCATTTTAAGAATGTGGAATATAAAGAAACATTGCATACATATGTAACATATCCTTGATTATAGCAAAGCAGGCACATTAACAGCAGATTTGTAGATATGCTCAACATTCTTTTTTAGTTTTCTAGCTGCTCAGATGCAATAAATTAAGCTGTTTTACAATTCTGTTTGGATATAGTATTATTTTCCTTTTTAAAATTATCTGAAATTAAGCCCAGCCAGGTAGCTTTCTCAATACTGTAATTGTAGACACTGTTGCACAGCAATAGAAAATGTGCATTGTTTTTCATACGTAAGAAGGAGTTTCAGTATTATACTAATACTACAAACTATACAAGTGTTTTTCTCTAGTTATGCAGAGAAGAATCATAACACTAGTATGAAAAAGAGCTACCAAGCCAACAAATTATCAATTCATATTAAATTACCTGTTACTAGGGCTCAAAATACTGAACTTTAGCTCTTATTCTTTCTGAATAAGCAATGATTACCTGATCCAGGAAGGCTTTTACTAATGTATCTCGATGCAGGATATCTTGAAAAACATTTCTATAGAAAAGGAAGCAAACAAACATGTGAGGTAATGCCATGAATGGACACTAACTGCCCAGCAGTTGTACACAGCAATAGCATTACTGTTTACAATCTGGCAGAAATTAAAAGGGAATTCAAAATTTTTAAAGCTAATACAGAATTTTAACGCAAAACTTCCAGATGAAATGAACTAAACCCAGGAAAGCCATTGGGCCCTGTCAAATACACTTAGCTTTGTTATATTCCTACTTGAAACAGACAACAAAATTGACATAACATGGTCATAAGTATCACTGAAAATGAATTTCAGTAATATTTAATGCAACAAAACTGATGGAACTGGTAAATTCCTCCAAAACGAATGCAACCACCAGAGCTGAAGAAGCAGCTTAAAAGCAAAAAGACCTCACGTACTTTATTAGAAAGTACACTTTGTACTACTTTACGCTCTTTTCCCAAATCAAATAACTTTGAGAGATGTGAGAGAAAAGTACATACAAATCAGGTGTGAAACTCTCATCTGTGTGGATAATATGATCTTGAGACATCTCTTCATCTGAATTAGCTCTCCAAAATGCTGTCAGCTCGGATCTCATATATCGTCGTTGGTTATAGATGTGTTCATGACAAGGGGGCATCTGCTTCACTGTATTGACATCTACATCTATATGTGTAGTAGGATATGGGGCATACATTACTTGACGGAAGGGCAACACAAAGCTTCCTGTTGCATCCTGTTTTAATGAAAAAAATTATTCTTCTAGTTACTTTTTTTAAAAAAACAAAGCTATATCGGAACAAAACAATATTAAAGCATCATGCCTAAATTTTAAATCCCGTTTGTTTAGACATGTTTTGTTTGAGAGAACTGGTGGCTCCTTCATCCTCGATGATTCCCTTAATATAACAGTGAAAACAGGTACTGAGGTAACCTGTGTATTACAGTATTGCATCATTTGGTTCGTAAGCCCATTAACATTACAGTATTATATTTATCTGATAAATTTAGACTGCTCGTTAGAGCAAGAAGCATTATTTTTCTATTCATCTTCACCCACTGCTACAACCCTTTTAAAATACTTGGGAACTGTAGGACTGATGGACTGTTCCTTTTTGGTTTTGGTACAACATAAAAACTTAATGCCTTTTGGGATTCTAGCCCCAAGCAGGCAAAAGAGTATTATTATTGTACCTCAAAGTGTAGGAACAATTCTGGACAATACTCAAGAAATAGATGAGTCAGAGAAAAGACTGGCTTGGAATTTTAACATGCAAATAGTTACAGGGAAAGCTATAGCGCCAGAAAGGAATCAAGGGAAGATAACATATTTCTTCGAACATCGATGCGTGTATGCATGTGCATATCATATGCACACACAAACACATACATTGAAGAATGTTCTTAAACCACAGAAGAATAAAACTTTCCTAAGCGTACTTACTTTGAGTAAGCCTTGAACAAAAAGTCCTGACTCGTATTTGAAAGAAGACTCATTTCTACAGAGTCTGGAACACTTCCGCTCTGATGGTGTAAGAAACAGACACAATGTTCTCACAATCTGCATTAAAAAGAACAGTTTTGAAAAACATGAAAATGTAAGGAATGAACTGATCTTCAAATGCAATTTCTGACTAGAATGTACTAGGCATTTCAAATGATGAACAAAAAAATTCATCATGCTTATTAGAAAAGCCAAAACGTTACCAAGGTCACAGAATAGTGACATGCTTAAATTATTAAGCTGTAAGCCATTATTACTCCAACTTCTTGTCAAATGAAAAAAAAATCCAACACTTTTTGGCAAAGTTTGTTTTTTAGCCAACTATGTAGAACAAACCACTTTTGCCTTCTGCTACCTCCTCCTATTACATAAACATGAGTTACTGTAATTACTTTTCTAGCCTTTTAAGCCACTTATTTTATTCATTCCGTATTGAAACATCAGCTATTGTTTCCAATCAGGCACAGCCAATTTCCTGAACAAGTATCCATGCTTATTTCCTCAGTGATTTCCTCAAACTCTCCATTAAAACCAAAAGAACTTCATTATCCGTTTTCAAACTCCTGTGCTGCAACAGCTACAAGTAATCAATCTCCAAATACAAACATGTATTCCATTCTGCTACTCTTTCAGTCTTAACCTGTCATGTCCTATCTGTAAGGCATTTGAGAAGGCTCTATCCTTGCACAATGTGTTTATGCAGTACCTAAAACAATGACAACCTAGTTTCTGACTAATGCTTTTTGCCACTTCAGCTAGATGCAATAGGTGTTTTTTTACTTTAAGGAAAGCTAACGTATGCCATAAAGAAAGCAATTACTTCAGAACAGTTGCGCTGTGACACAAAGAGCATACTGCTGATAAGAACCTGTGTAGAATTTATGAAATTTATCCTGGATGTATCTTGAGACTCACATTCTTCTAGACTGTTTTTTTTCCTATAGTGTCTAGCTTATCAATACATTATTTTACATATTTTACTCAATAACCATTTAGACCTTAAAGCCTTTTAATTAGTTATTTTATGAACTATAAACTTTAAGCTTTTTACAGCCACTTAAGCCTTTAAGATTTCCTTTACTATGCTAACTTAAATCATGTGCAAATCTTACATCCCTGAAACAATACATATTAACTGCAGTTAGCTGATTTCAGCTAAGAACTGAGAATTTTGTTTTCTCTGGTTCCCCTGTCCCGCGTGATTATTTTTAATTTGAGTATCAGCATTTACTGTTCATTTGATCAGAGGTGCTTTACCATCACTGCCAATACACAATGCATTTCCCACCCACCCCCTCAATTTTTATAAAGCATCACAAACTGCTTATTTCAAATCACAGGTTTACTAACAGTGCCTTGAATTTTTTAAAAAGAAGACTATTGTATTTCATTACAGCAAGGAGCCCTATATACTATAAAATATATAATATATAATATATATAGTCTACAATTAATATATAATATATTCAGCAGGCCCACTGTTCTTAATTTTTATTTCACATTAAAGCAATACACACAGATACATATATCTCTCTCTCTCTATATATATATATCTCAAAAAGGGCATGAACTTGGAGAATTAAGATGAGTTATTCTTCAAAGGAAGGTTTCAGTCTTACAAAATAAACCAGAGCTCAATAATTAGTACATCACAATTAAAAACATAATCAGACAGAAAAGCCCAATACACAAAAACATTCCCTATCAGAAAATGAAGTTATGTGAATATACTGCTTCTCCACAGGTACCACTGTAGGACCCTTGTCATGGTCTCAGGACATGAGACTATTGTTATTGCATGGCCCAGAGGCGCCAATGTAAATTAAAAACTTATAATGCTACATAACTACACAAAACCTTACCCTCACAGCAGTATTGGAAAACTCATTAAGTGCAGTGGTGCCTAATACCTGGAGGCTCTAGGATTGCACACGTTTATGAAACCCTTCTTTTCATTCCCAGTTGCAGGGATATTCTGAATCAAAGAGATTCATTAAAGGACTCAGCCGTGAATGTAGAGAGGCAATTGCTTTAGTGAAATACATTTTCTCACAAAGAAAACAACATTTTCTTCATGATTTGTCTCTGAATATTCTAACAGAAAATTAACTTCAGTGTTTTTATTAGAAGGGATGGAGCAACACCCTAATTAAATGCAAGTCAAAGGGAAATCTCTCTGAACAAAACGCTGATACATGGCACTACGCTAAAAAGAAATACGCTTTAAGAAATAATTCAATGGACAGTAAACACAAGTGTATCTCTTCCAGGAATTGCTTTTAATTTATCTGAAATTAGCATTTTGGTATAATCAAAAAGCTGTATACAAAAAAGGTACTTGGAGAATTCTGAATACCGAAAACATTCTCATTTGATTTTTCCTTTACATACTGGGTAAGCTTAAAAGAAGCATCAAGAAACTCTCCATTTACACCAAAATATTAAAGTAAAAGCAGTGCAGGTGATAGTTTCATATTGGTTCAAATTAAATATTTCATAACAAGCTTACAAGAGAGTTAAAAATAATAACAGCATGGGAAAAAAGTGTCTACCACATAAATGTAATTATTTTCTTGTTCAGAAATGACAGCTTCCAAGAGTGACCTTTTTTCCTCCCAAATAAACCATGATGATGTATATACTCTTCCCCATTAAGAGGTACAGCTAATGCTGCTGACTGTTTCTAGACCTAAAAGCTCCTAAACATCATCCCTACTGATGTGCTGCAGCAAGTATGACGCACTGAGTGTTTTGTTGTTACAGGACTCGGTTTTAGGGATTTATATCTGTACTTTGCCTCTTTCTGGTTCTTCTGGAAAGCTGAGTCAAACCTAATTTAAGACCTACCAGTTAAACTGTACGCTTATTTACCAATTAAGTTTTAAAAAGACTGAAGATGAAGTCAACACAAACACAGCTATGAAGAAAAAAATGCTGGAATTGTTGGAATGGTTTAAGGTCCTAGTAAGCTTGCCTGTTTCAACATACGTGTGTAACTACAGTCTCCACAGCTTTGAGGTTCCATGAAACACAAGCAGTTCGTGATGCAGAAGTACATTTATTCCCCAGCATAAGAAAAATTATGCAGATACTAATTTCTTAAGAGTACACAGATAGTACTCATTGACATAGCTAAACTGGGCAAGCCAGTTCAGACCTATTCAATTTGTACACTTTAGCTAACAAACCTAATTTTAAAAGCTCAGACTCATTTACTACTCGTTTATATACAGTATCAATCAAATTAAATACATTGGTTTTCTTATAGTTGCCAGAATACAACTGATAAGGTAATTTTCAGGCAGAATTACCAACTGCTAGACCAATCTGAAGTAAGATAACCAGACAACAGTACTCCTTCTTCAACCTCAAGTATATTTATAGATAAACCTTGTTCCAAATAACACACTAACACTCCTAATAATCAGCATTTAAGTTTGGTTTATTAGAAAGTGCATTACCTTATTAACTTTTTCTGCGCTGCTTCCTACAACTACAGAACAACCACAGGTCTGCAGGTGTGAACTAATTGCACTGCAAATAAAAACAAACATAGGTTAATACATTTAACCAGACTTTTCAAATAAAATAATTATCATCTTCACAAGAAGAATGAAGTGCTGCTAGTATAAATATAGGCCAATAGCTATAGGCCCATACCCACAGGATCTCACACTGCTGTGTAGGTTACTGCTGAAATCTGAAAGTTGGACAGTATCTACATTTTCATTTTGATTAATAAAACAACTGCCACTCAGAACCTCCAAACACCAGTTACAGAGCAAACAAAAACTGTCTATTGCTACTATCTAACCGTATTACAGAATTTGTATAAAATAGTTCATCTAAAGTAAAAGAAGACATATTAATAATGAAGGATTTGAAAGTATCCTGAAAGATGATCTATGCCATGGTTGTCCTCATTTTCTGAAACTGTGGATCAGAAGCCAGTTTTGGGAGACTTGGCAGGTAAACTGTTCTACTCTTGTTAACTACATGGGCAAGAGCAGGTCGCAAGCTTGAGTCCCTCAGAATATACACAGGCATGCTAGAAGTTGAGTGATCTTGTCTTGTGAATTGCCAGCAGCACAGATCTGACCTAGTTTATCTTAAGTTTGGAGGCTGCAGTAAATATACCTGGACTAACCTTGACAACTCTTAACTTGTCCTTAAGAAACTTCTGTTAAGGTTTCTTACCCTCATCTTCTCTTTCCCCTTGCACTTTCTCAAAACAACACCTGGCCCACAGTTTCAAAAAGTCTAGATACCCTAGAAAGTCTAGATACTATTGAAAAATTTTCTCCAAAATCTGTGAATATACAAAAGTGCATTTATGCTACCTTACTGAAGGATGCATTGTATGTGATTAACCAGTTCTAATAAACACCTCTAATTCATAAGGACTAATTACACTCAGACTCTGAAATCCTACAGATGGACTTTATAGTGGACCTGCTACTATATATCTTACCAAGTATATTCTGAGAATTAAATTTAAGGCCATCCGAATATTTACGAATTCTTCCTTTGGGGCAGAAATAGATGTTCAGTTTCATTTAGAAGTTACTAAGTTACTAAGAAAGCATGACTGCTTATTTTAGAGGTTGGTATTGTTGAAATGGCAATTTATTTAATTTAATACAATTTTTATTCAATGACATGTATAAATGCATACAACACTGTATTTAAGACTTGAGATCTGAACCTAGATGAGCTGAGAAGCTTTGCAGATAAGCTAAAAACCAGGCATTTGAACCCTGCACACGAATGGCCAAGTTATTCTTTTCTTTTCAGGACAAAATTTCCAGGGAGAAGTAGCAAGAGGAGATAACTGACACCCTACAGTCTACTACCTGCCCAATAAATCTCCATCTGATATAAGAATAGCTCATCATTGTAAGATCAATAGCTCTAAATGTTTACAATAATCCATTCATGCTATTCACTTCATTATTACCCAAATTCTCTATGGAACTAAGTACTACATTATTGTGAAGAATTAGTTAATTTAACACATGAATTTCTGTAGTACTGAAAGCATATGTGACGCTGTATAAATAGATGGCACTAAGGACTACATAAATGAATGCAGTTACACCAGAGATGTTCTGAAAGGTAACAGAACATCAATTAAAATCTATGAAATATGCTTTCCCACAGGAAGAGACCAAGTTGCTCTCAAGTGCAGCTACTTCCACTTACATATTAAAAACAGGGGGAAAAAAAAGAAATACACAATTTAATAATAAGCATTCTATATGCCATACCATTAATGACTCTTATTCATAGTTCATGCAGTAAACACAACCCAGGTTTTTTGGTATTTCATAAAAATGTAAGACTTTGACTTATATCCTCATAAAATTAAACATAAGTGCAGCTATTAGCCCAGAGCCATTCTTCTAAAAAGACAGCAACTTCTACAGCATTTTATAGACAAAAATCTCAAAAAAACAAATACATGTCATCCTCCCCACTCCTATAAAGAAAACTAATCTAATCTAATCTATGTTCACATGCACATGCAGATAACTATATATGTTCACATGCAAATACAGACAGATACATATATATGCACACACAAGTTTAAACCATTTTACTACAGCATAAATAAAAAAATGAAATTCGTACTTGAGAAGAAAGCCTTCATGGCAACTATCCCCAATGTCATCATCATTTAGCACTGTGTCACTTATCTGAAATGCAAGTAAATACAAACAAAGGTTAGACAAGGATCTGCAACACCTTCCAATTAATTCATTTTTGTTTTTAATGATAGGTGGGAACTGTTTGGAAACTATTTGAGCTAAGTTGTAAGACTGCCCAAAAAAGCACAACCTTAAAAAGACCTTCTGATTTCAGCCAAAGCACTTTGAAAATGAGAAAATAACTCGATTATTAAACGTCCTTTACCAGTCCCGAGTCAGATTTCTCCCAGTGATTTTTTTCTACAACCTTGTCCAGAATACTTTAAATTAGTGCGAGATCACTTCTACTTCTTCCATGAGAACACTAAACCACGCTGAAACAGGTATTAACATTAAAACCATTTACCTCCCCATTTGTTTTGCCTCAAATAGCCTTTCCGCTCCACTCTTAAAAACAGTGTCATCCTATGCAGTCAATTTTGTTCAGTGCTGACCATAAAACCCACTGCTAGTACTGTTACATTTACCAAACTAAAACAGTTATGTTAAACCATTCCCTATACCACTTAGGAGAACTTGATGTGAAACAACTTAAGTGTGCAAGAATTTATGACAACTGTGGGGTTCTGTCTGCTAAAGAGAGCACCAACCAGAGTGCCAAAGCCACTTTTTTATTCAGGATGCGAAGAACACAAGGACTTACATCTATTTCTGCTGGAACACTGTGTGATTTCATAGATGAAAGGAGTTCCATTACAGGAATGACTTCTCCTGTCAGCATTGGAATAATGCTCTGGCCCTGCGCAATAAATGAAATGCTTGAGGTAAAAGCACATTATGCAGTATTAGAAGTTACTACTAACATGAACTTGCAATATTACATGCAAAACGTCTTTAACTTTCTATTGTTTGGAAGTGTGGTATGAGTGGAAATTGATGCATAGACTTCTTGGGCTTTGCTCATCAATAAACTGGAAACATACATTTTGCTTCTCAACATCGTGTCTAAAATGTATTTCCAGGGTCCTATGCAATTTTCACAATCAGTTTGATTCACCTAGACAAGAAGTATTTGGAGTGAGATAATTCGATCATACCATATTACGTGCAATTACTGTTAAGCATTTTAGATCCAAGTCTGATGTTTTAAGAATGACAGGAAACCAAAACCAGGCATATTAGTTATTAACACACAAAATTACTTATCTGATTTATCTATCACAAGAAACTGAAGGCACAATTTCATATTTACAGTTTCAGAAATCAAATTCTTTTCACAGTCTTATCCATTAGGTCTCCAACCACATTCCAACATGACAGACTCCGTACGTCTCTATAACTCGAAAAGGTAACGACCTAGTCAAAACCCATCCTTGATAGGAGGCGAGCATGAATCTATGGAAGCTACTACCTTTACAGAGCTTCAAGTTCAAGTAAATTACTTTCCTTTTCTGAAAAGTAATATTCTTCATAGATTTCCACTTTACCCATAAAGTGATGAAATATATTTTCCTTCAACTTGTTCACAGCTTCCATCATCCTATCTTCAGAAACTTTGCCTCCTGTGCATGGCAGGTCATCATCCAGTCCAAAGTATCTTCCTGGATCCCAAAAATAAGAAGCAGCACCAACTTCTACAGTCACCAGATGCAGTCAAATAGTTTTGTGATGGTGTGCCATACGCATCAGCCAGACGGCCCTTACCTGATCCTCCATTCTCTCCGTGCCTTCCAAGACAATCTTCTGGAAATGTTCTTGCCTCTCCTGAGCAAGAGAAGCAGTTAAATATCAACGCTCTGGTATTTGTTTATATATGTATGCACACAACAGTCAAATGGTACAGTTTCTTCCCTGTGGAGTCACGCTTCTTAGATTCAAATTTTGATGTTCAAGTCTTTTTTCTTTTACAGAGTTGACATTAGTGGGAAGTGATGTCATTTTAAACAGATCAATGCTCCCTGCTCTGCCCCCCACCAAACCTCTCACATGCTTGGGCAGGAGTAGCAGGAAAGGAAGGGTATGATGACAATGACAAAACATTAAGTTTCTTCATTACAGATCAAGAAAATGATCAGATTGTGGTGCAGAATTCCACTTTATGTATGGATTTTTATTTTCAAATGGATAAGGTACAGACTGATGGTTTCTGAGGCAGCAAGAGAAAAATGAGATCTCCAGAATGAGAAAAATTATTTGTTTGGGGAGGGTAGGAAAAACAGGACTTTTTTTTTTTCCCGCATCTTGAGACACTGACAAGTCTTCAAAACATTGTTTTATAACCAAGTACAGGAGACACAAAACCTCAAAATACACAAAACACAACATACAAAAGACTGGACAAAGTTCTCAAAACACTTATCAGCATCTGAGTAGCAAACTGCATTCAAAACGCAACTTACAAGGGCATCAAGTTATTATTCACAAAGAGAATTTGGCATTAATCACTGGAACAATCAATACAATACACAAAAAATGGAAGATGCTGTGAGAACTAATGATATCTTCTGCTAGATGCTGACAGGATATTGCATTTTTATTGGTTACTCATTAGTTTCCTGTGATTGAACTACTCAAAGTTGATCAATGTCAAGTGGGAAAAGAGTTTACATAACTTTTTTTGAGCAGCTGAATAGGGAACAAAACCAGCCCTAAAACAGTAATAAAACTTGTCCAACCATTTAAAAGAAGCATCTGTGAAAAACAATACTGGAACGAGGCAGATTCCTTCAGGGCACCTCCATCCTTGAGTTCAGTGTCAGTGCAGTAAGACATCCTTGACAATGAAGATCCTTTGCTTTAAAAGAAGTCAGTCTTCATGTGAAGGCTGAACAAATGGTGTAAGCCACTTCTTTTCAGAAATGTAACTGCTCCAAATTATTAGACAAACATCTGGAACATAAAATTGAAGTAGATAAAAGGGGTTTCTAATCCCATACAGACGACTTGCTTCGAGTTGCTTGTCTTTCTTTGCCAGTCTGAACATTGTTCCATGTTTTTCCTAGTCCTTGAGTTCAGAAGGTTTCTTCTCTAAAGTCTAGCTGGAACTGTTGTCCGGCTCTACACAGAACTTGTGAGAGCTGATAACCACGACCATTAGAAATTCCAGAATAGATACACAGTTCCTTTCAGATACGACGTCAACCTTCTCGTTCTGTTGTAGCCATAGTAGCTGAACTGCCTCAAAACACAAACTACAAAATAAGCCTGTTTTAATTCAGTATTATCATTCTACAACTCATGCCTAAATTTTAATCTATATTTTCAAAGCAGTTTTCTCTCTTCTAGGTAAGGCTGCAGAACTGCAGATATATGCAGGGATCTTTGATCTTCCTCAAAAAAAAAAAAAAAGGCAAAAAAAAAAAAAAGACAGACAATAAATGTCTATTCCAGAATGTATCACTGTCTCAGCCAACCCATCTGCTTCAGCAGACCTATCTGCTTCAAGAATATCTGGAAAAGAATGAAGAACTTAATGACTAATTTCTGAGGAAACTAGTAGAAAACATTTTTTTGTCATTCTCAATGCCAATTAAAGCCTATTTCTACTGTGGAAACAAACTGATTTGGATTGATGTCCAAAAAGAGAGAAGATGTACTATAGTTAAGAATGAGGGACAATTCTTATTTGACCACTCAAATTAAAACTCAGTACAGAAGACACTAAATGACAGAGAAGCAATGTGATCAAGCACATGAGATAGCATTCAGTTACGTCAAAAGCACTAACATCCAGCAGGCTTTTAGAAGAGTAGATTAGGAATGAAGTATTTGTGTTTCTACTATATTGAAAATGAACTTTATGTCTTATCCTTCCTCTGAAAAATAAAACCCAGAAATATCAAGAGCCAATGTGATGGAAAACACTGCCAGCCATCATCAGGTAATACAGCAAAACCCAGTGGAGTTTGTTCATGTAGCAAAAAGGAAACACCACCACAAAAATTAAGATCAGCTTATTATTTCTGGATTCTTACTTAGTTCAGATAAAAGCACTCAAAAAGGAAGTTTAAAGTATGTTGACGAGAAGTCTCAAAACAGAAGAGGAACAAAAACTTTATCAGACAAACATGCACCACCACACACGTTACAGCTGACATGAAATCTACTGCTCTAAGACAACTTGTACTCCATGAAGACAACAGAGATTTTAATTTTTATTATTAGAATGTTATTTATTTTAAACAAAAATACGTAACAATTTTCACTTAATAAGGAAATACCCATAATGTACCCAAAGGTAAGAGTTGCAATTCTTCAGAAAAATTTAGCATGTTTTTGAATTTCAAAAATAGAAATATGTGGACTAAAAGTAGATATATTTTCGTGGTTCTCCCATTAGTTTTACACAATTTAACACCTGCCAAACTGTTCGTTGATACCCTTTTCTTGAAAAATGAAACTGTAACAACAATGACAATAATAACTGCATCAGTTTCCTTGTCTGGACCTCAACAGTGAAAACAATGATTTGAAACACAGTAAATTTAAAATTCTACCTAGTTTAAATACAGTAATTAACACAGTTAGCTCAAAGCAACAATTTATATCAAATTCAGAGAGATTAAAAACTGTACAGAATACCTACTTCACCCAGATAGCCTGGTTATATATTACCAGGATAAATCATATGGCTAAAAACCCCAGCCTTGAATTTGCTGACATATTGATAACTTTTAACCTTCAAAATTGTATACTTGTAGAAAGGTCAGCCTCCTCTGAGTGTTTGTGTTTGGATTGCTACATAACCAGTGTCACAGAATCTTAAGTCTTGCTTTTGCTCAAGACAAGTTGAACAACTGCTTTTAGTAATGAACAATAAACCTACCTTATGCATCCATATTCTTCCTTTCCTTATAATATGTGTTAACCTATCCACGCACACTCTGTGAAGCGGCAGGTAGAAGCCAAGTTCACTTTGTGGAAGTATAATTGATAGTCCATATGTGCTTCTGTCTCCATTCCAGTTTCCATCAAAGATTAATGACACGATGATTACCCTTTTTTCTGCCAAGACGAAGAACTTCACATCTATTGCACCGCTTTCTGCATTCCGAAGTATTTCTCCATTGAGGGTGTGGTTAGCAAGAAAAGTTATTTCACCATCACTGAGAAGTACCTGTTCGGTCTTTGGGGCCCAGATATGCCGCACTCGGGGGCCAAGAATATTGTCCCAGTAAGCAAAAGTGGCAGCTAATAAAGGTGACTCGCCATTCAAAGAGATCTCTGTTTTAGCAACTGCAGGAGATGGTGGTGGACAAAGAGCTGACATGCCTGTTTCCCCTCTCGTGTATAAATGAAATGCTTACATTACCTAAAAAGAAGTTTTCATAGAAAAAAAAACAAAATTAGAGTAATAATAATAGAGTAACTCACTATTACCTCATCTTCTTTCGTTTCCAAGTAAGACTTCAAGAGACAACCTGACTTCTACACTTGAGATTTCACTGTATCCTTCATTCAGGAAGGAAGCTTATATGCATATTTTCCACATAACGAAGTGGTATGCTTTACAAATGTTAGTCAGTCAGACTATACAAGTATACTTTACTCACTATACAAGTATGATGAGCCTGAATAACATTCAACTTGTGTAAGAAAACTGACATACGCTAAGTATATCCTTTGATATATCATGGTGACACGCAGGGTGTTGCAATACAAGACAAATGTTCAGCACTTTATAGAATGTATTGATGGAAGTCTTCATATAGCGTAGACACAATCCTGAAACATTTTCCCTAGCAGTTTCCAACAACTCCACAGCTTCCTCATTTTGATGGGGCTGCAAAAGATAGCAGGAAGTTTCACCTTCCCTGAAAGTTATGCTAGAGTCACAGGAACACATTAAATAAAAAAGTTTTACAAACAAATTCAACTCAGGACGGAAAACTATAAAAGCTAAAATGCGTTCATCTTGACGAAACCTCACATGACCAGATCTCAGCTTTCCTTTTCTCTCTGCCTGCAGCATTCCACACGACAGCAGAGGGGAACCCCCCGGCCAGTATGAAAGGAGCAGTAACACCCATCCCACCGACACAGCTGTAACTCGCCTGACCTCAGGCACCGTTTCGTTTCATGTATCTGAACTTTTTTTCCCTTGTGAGTGTCCCTAACAAGATCGTCCAGGTGCACTTCCTCACAGCAGGAGGGCAAAGCACCTTTCTCTCTGGCTACTTCTCACAGAGGGGAACCCCCCGGCCAGTATGAAAGGAGCAGTAACACCCATCCCACCGACACAGCTGTAACTCGCCTGACCTCAGGCACCGTTTCGTTTCATGTATCTGAACTTTTTTTCCCTTGTGAGTGTCCCTAACAAGATCGTCCAGGTGCACTTCCTCACAGCAGGAGGGCAAAGCACCTTTCTCTCTGGCTACTTCTCAGGCCCGACTGACCACCACT